TGGCCATCTCATTGAGGCTCCAAGTCCCCGGTGTCTCTCTTAATAATCTCAGCTCATTGAAGTCAGCCCTCCTGAAGTCAAATATTTTTGCCTTACTGCTTGTTTTCACCACTCTGCGCTGGATAGTAAATTCCAGCAGACGATGGTTGCTAACGTCTAGGTAGTCGAACACCTGCAGATCCCTCACCAGGACAAGGACCAAGTCCAGCAAGGCATTTCCTCTGGTGGAATTGTGTACCTCTTTGGTTAGCTGGAGGTCCTGTATGCAGGCTAAAAGCCTACATGAGTGTTCAGACCTGGCTGACTTATCCTCCCAGCAGATGTCTGGGTAGTTTAGGTCACCCATGCCAACCACATCCCTTGTCCTTACAGCCTCTGTGAGCTGACCTGAAAATTCCAGGTCCAGCTCATTCCCCTGGTGAGGCGGTCTGCAGTAGATGCCCACTATCAAGTCCCTTTTCCCACGACCCCCTTGCATTCTAACCCAGAGCACCTCAGTTTGCTCCTCTTCTGAACCCATACTGATCACCGTACTTTTCTTTAACATAGAGTGCTACACCCCCCACTTTTTCCCTACTCTATCCTGTCTATACAACCTATAGCTCTCAGTGTCTACTGCCCAGTCATGGGTAGAATCCCACTAGGTTTCTGTAAGCCCAACCAGGTCTGGGTTTTTGCTAGCTAGCAGAAGGGAAAGTTCCTCCTGCTTATTCCCCATACTCTAGCATTTGTGTAGAGACAATTGAGACCTCCTATGGGTGTTTGTGCTGCATTCTTGTTCTCAAGCTTGTCCGGGCCCTTGTCACTTACCTGGGTTGTTCCTGCTCATGTCACCTGGCTTGATGTCAAAGGGTCCTCCTGCACCTCTGCATCCCCATCCCCTGATGAATCTAGTTTAAAGCTATGGTTGGCTGAAATCATATGGTGGTATGAATTCAGGCAACCTGGAAGAGAAAACACGCTTACCTTTTGGGGAGAAAACACGCTGCAGCGGGGAGGGGGAAGCAGGCCTGGACCAAGCAGCAGGAGGTAAAGGGGAAGAGGGCTTGTGCAGAGGGGTGTGGGGTGGGACTCCATCCCCACACGCTCTCTCCACCCCCCCCATAATTCCTAATGGGCAATTGGCTAGTAATTTGATAAACACTATAATTGGTTATTTCAAAGTATATTTGTACTTAGGTATTTTCAGTTTTATTTGTCTTGTTATATATTCATTCAAATGAACTTAACAACCCTTTAAGCTAACAGTATATATCCTTAATAAACACAGAAAACAGGAGAGACTACCACGGATAGATTCACTGAGGAAATATATATTGGAGGAGAGCTGTGTATGTTTCTCAGGTGAATAATAGGCAGTTTGGTAAGGCACTATGAAAGGCAGAGAGTCTTCCATAGAAAATTCCTGTTTGCATTAAAGAAATGATTGGTTGCTTCCTGGTCCTCATTGTATTTATATGGGGGTTTCACAGGATCAAGGTTTGCAACTGGTGAGAGATTTTGGAGAGTTGTGAGGTTTTAGATAGAAAGGGCAGAAGATGCAACACGTATATTATCCTCCCAATAGTCTCATGAATAATTTGTTGAAAGGATACTTAGTTATTATGTTGATTAGGGCCACCTAATCATCTAGACAGATTGGATGGTAAAGGTATTACTTTCTGAATCTGTATTACCTTTCATGTGTACTCTCCATCATGCAAGAATACCACTTTCCCTCATTTAAGAGAGTTTCCAGATGGAGTAATAACTAATAAGAGCCTTGGCAGTGTAATGCAATAGAGGGCACCTTGGAAGAGAAGAGAAGTTTTTGTGGAGCAGCAACAGTGAGGCCTAGGGACAGTGTGCAGGGCCTTTGGTTTTAATGGAACTCCTGACTTTCTCATGGTTCTTTTATGCAGAATGTCTTCTTTCTGGCTATGTTTCTTCTCATTTGTAACACTATTGTACTCTAAAGTTGCTTTAAAATGCTTCAGGCAAAGTTACAATACAACTTCAGTTTCATAGGGGTCAGCATTAGGGAAAACCAGTATGGTACTCTGCAATTTCTTTGAGCTTTCATTCATTACTGAGTTAAAATAAACTTATGTTAATTATGGGTGTAGGATTTTCATTAGAAATGATTCATATGTAAGTAGTTAACACTTGAATAGTTTTTGTATACATGTCATTTGATATAATTGCCTTAAATTAAAAAAAGATAAAAGCACAATGAAGCCAGTAAAAATGTATTTCCATTTGGTTGGTAAGGAATATATTAGCATGCCACTGTTGCCTGAACATTTTCCATGAAGCACCAATCTCTTTCTTTTCATCACAATCACCACTGAAGCTTCAGATAGCACGTGTAGTACCTTGAATTTAGCTTAAGCCAGATGCTACAGTTCAATTGTCAGATTAAGTGCTGGACACATTTTAACAAGACAGCCATCTACCTATATAGCTGCATTATCTCCCTTCAACATACACAATCTCTTCCCTTGTGCCCCTTTATCTAAAGATTTTCCGGGTTATTTATAATTAATTGAGATTTTAATGATACAGTGGTTTACCTGCTAGCTGCTGTAGCTCTGTAATTTGAAAGTATTACAGGTCTGATTACCCTGCCAGTCACAGGGCAGTATTCTCAAATTCATATCCATCAGATCACACCTTAAAAAATCAGCAAAGACAACTTGCTGATTGAAGGTCATAAAGATAAGTGACTGTGGTGTAGGAGATCTAGTCAAATCATCTTTAAGGTAGAGAATGGCAGCAGCTTATGGTGATATAGCTCAGTGGGAAAGAAGAGTTATTAATTAGTCACCCAGCAGCTGGAAGTATGATTGACAGGTAAGATATGACCGATCAAGGCTTCGGTAATATCAAGTATCAAAGCCTTTGGTATTTTGGGGACTTTACATTTTCTTTGTTTCATTATTAATGTGTCCAAGAATCATATTTTGCAGGAGAAATTGTGTTGAAAATAGGATTTAAATCTCCTATTCTAATATGAATGGGTGTTATCAGTTCAAATCTAGCTTTGATACTAGATGACATAAAATATAGAATGCAACTAACGATTAATTTCCATTATCATGTCAATCACTGAATACCTGCATTTTGTGTTTAGTTCTTTTTAAATGATTTGGCTTAAGGGTAATTTTTAAGCCCTTATGGAAATAAAGTTCAGTGTATAATTTTCTGCCAGACTGACAGCAATGACATTTTTAAGACTGCTATAATTTTGGTTAAGTCAGTAGGCAGCATGTAAATTAAAGGGTTCATGGGGAAAAATCTTGTGTAAAAACAATATTCATAGTGCACATATTTATAAACATTACTTTGAATACATTATAACATGCCAAACTATTTTTCATTCTGCCTGCATTAAGTGAAATAAATTCTACATAGGTATTTTAAAGAAGACTCTTTTTTTCCCTTGTAAATCACATGAAATTACCATTTTTACTCTATTTTGTTTCTTGCAGCATGTGGAGAAACTCTGCAAGAATCTACAGGCAACTTTTCATCTCCAGGATTTCCAAATGGTTATCCTTCCTATACCCACTGTATATGGAGAATCTCTGTAACTCCAGGGGAGAAGGTACTTTAGCATTATTTTAGCACCCCCTTTCCTGAAATAAATACAAGCATCTCCTCTTCCTTTTTTTAAGACACTTTCCTCTTTATTTAGGGGTTTGGGTTTTTTTTAAGATTTCATCACATCACAAATTGATTATATCATAATAACCAGACTTTGCATTTGATAATGAAATATAGGCAGAAGGCAGGGTAGATTTGTACCTTGAATCAGAGGCATATAGCATAAAAGCTTATGCTATATGACACTGATTTAGTTAGTCTATAAGGTCTTGAGTAGATGAAATAGGGGCCCTAAATTGAAGCGGTTGGTTTTAAAAAACACCACTTCAATTTAGAGCTGATTAAACCCCCATGTTGTGCACACACCTCACTGACTTACCTGCCTCTCTGGTGGGGAGGGGTGGGTCAGCTGCCAGCAGGTGGGGTGGTCCTTGGGTTACAGGGTAGGGTCTGGTGCTTCCCTCCATGCCTCCCCACCAGACAGCACCTGCCCATAGGCACCTGGTTCAGGTGGTCCTGGGGGACACCACAGCTGCGGAGGGAAGCACCAGGCCCCTGCGCAGCTCAGGCAGGCAGGCAGGCTCTGGGGGAGGGGGGTGGGAGAGATCAGACTCGCCACTTTTCTTGGGCAGAGACTGTTTTCCTGGGCTGCTGCCAGGCTGCCTACAGTGCTTCCTGCAGAGCTATGGAGCTGCACAGAGCCCGGTGCTTCGCTCCACAGCTGTAGGGGCAGCAAACTAAAACTCCTCGAAAGAATTTTAGTTTGCTGTCTCCCATGTCATTTAAGGCACATTATGCTGCCAAATTTCCTACAGGAGCTGGAATTAAGGCGCAATATACTGCCAAAGCATGCAAACACTGACACTATTAAAGTGGTGCAGAAGCATTTAGCCCACTTTAAAGTGTCGTGTACACACACCTCTCGTTTCATCTACATATGGCTTAAGACACAAATCTACCCTGCCTTCTGCCAGTTTTCAAACTAACACGGCTTACTACCTCTGTGTGCTGATGAACTGGTTTGACTTTGCCCTGTGTTACTGGAAACTCAAGTTCACTCCCATCCAGTGGAAGTTCACATTAAATAAGTTTACAGTTGCAGTCCCATTCTAAGAAGAAAGATATGTTCACACGCTCATATTGGTAGCCTCAGCATAAAGTCAGAAGCTGAAATAGGCATGCATGGGTGACTTGCATTCTTATTCTTCTGGTTGGTCCCCCAAAGATGTGCCTGAGCACAGAAACTCGGTAGTATGGGGAAATAAGAACAATGGTGGTGCTTGTCTGATGCCTTAGTCAATGGGTTTTAGGGTGTTACTTGGAGAATTTGTTGCTGTTTATCTAATAATCATAATGCAGGTAAGAACATCTCTTGCAATAGCCTTCTCAATCTGGTCCCACACACATTTTCTAGAAGCAGAGGCATGTGGGTCAGTTCCACCTGGCAGTATTTGAGCATTTGTTCACTTATATTATTACATGTCCCTGAAGAAATAAATTGTAAACACAGAGTGTGCACAAGGTTGGGGATCTGGGACAGAGTGTACTTAAGATATGCAGATCACCTTGGTCTTAGGGACCTAAAACCAAATAGACATTTCTGTGAAGGAGTAAGGAACAGAGAGGTCAAAGGGAGTGGACTGCAGCCTCTTCAACCAAAGGAAGTATAAAAACATGTGTGTGAAGTGTGATAAGACCCAAACACAACACCCTGGTGATGCATGCCAGTTTTTAAAGTTGGTTATGCAATAGCCAGTAATTCTGAATATGAAATATAAGTAGAACTTGGATGGTTGTTCAATCCTACAGACATTTTAGGTTTTCACATTTTTTTTTCTTTCTTCATTTTGATATTCTTGATGACAGAGCAGGGTGCTACTTAAGAATAGTCAGTAATCCTGGAGTTCAGGGAGCTTACCTTAAGGAATATGGCAGACCCATGTCTGCTTGCTGCAACAAGAGACTTGGACCATGTTACCCACATCTCAGGTTAGTGCCTTGACTGCCTACTTGGGTAGTATCTCTCTTCTGCTGGAGTTGCTCAACACTGTAAAAAAAAAAAAAAAAAATGTATTCACTCTGAGAGCCAAACACTCCATAGCTTATTGGTTAAGGCACTGCTAGATTAGGAGACAGGTTCAAGTCTTTTTCACCAAAAAACAGGAGACATTGAAATTTTAAATTCCCACTCTGAATCAGGCAGGTAAAAATACTAACCATTAGGCTGTTGGCTGTTCTGTGTACTTTGCTTTCCCTCTGGGTTTGACTTGAGAAATTTTGGTGATGAAACCTCTGTCAAAACAGTGACGACTATCTGGTGAAAATATTTTATTTCTATTAAAACAATATTTACTTGGAAAATTCCTAGCCAGACCTCATTTTAAGAGGCCAGAGCTCTGATACTGCACGTTTTCCATAACAAGACTCTTTGTCCTCTCATTCATTTTGTAAATAGAAGTTAAAATACTTTGTTATCTCTTTCAATTACACATGTATAAATGCATCCTGAATCCTTTTTCATGATCATAGTAAACAACAGAGATTGTTTTTAAAATTACTTTCCATGAAGATTATATTTGCTGGACATTAAAATTCAGTATGTAAAAGTGGAAAAATGAAGAGAAGAATAACATTTAAAATATGAAATTATACCTTTCAGTGAAAATAATGTCTCCATAAGCAAAGAAAGAAGATTATGTAGCAGGCTTAGGAACAATTGTGAGTGGTTTTAAAACAGTCTGCTCTGATCTTTCAGCTCAGGATTGAAGTCTACATTATAATTTAATTAATATTCTGTAATTATGGATCATGGTTTCTGAAATAATTACAACTCAGGTTTCTCACAACTCCTAATTTATGAGAGAACTAAATAAAACTTAACAGCTGTGTATTTTCCAAATGTATCAAATTTCTTAGAGTGAAAATATTCAATTTCTTGCTTGCAGTTTTGATAATTTAGGGATAAATTCTCACTTCCATTACATGACCTTACAGGAGTGGAAGAAGCAGAAAAGACTGATATAAGGCACACTAGAATTATTATTGTCCCTGCACACTAAGGAAGTCCAGGGCTGGTGAATGGGAGAGTAGACAGATTTTGCCTCCACTTTCAAACTGCCATACAGAAGGATTGCATAAAGTACTACCATATTTGTTAAAGGGGCAGGGGTATGTATTTCCTACAGCATGCAAGGGAGCTTTGTGAAAATACCTTTTGACACTCATTTCTGCAGCAGTGTATGTTTTGTATTACCCAGTGTAGGGATGCATCTAAAGTAGTTAAAAATACAGTATTCTTTTTGCATGATCAGTATAATTAGTTTCGTTTTGCAAAACATTGTTTCATTTTCTTGCTAGAAGAAGAGTATTTTAAATGAGTCCCTGTCTAATTTTCTACCATCAGTGCCTAAGGTTTACAGCATTGAAAAATAGAGCTGCATAGGCAATGGTTTGAGATTTCCAAAAACGTTTGTCCTCACTGAAACTAAAATGATGCTTGAAAATTCTTGTGAAAATCAAGAGACAACAGACTCCCAAAGAGCTCATATGTTAGGGCACTCACTGCAGCTGTGGAAAAAAACAGATTCAAGTTCTTGGTCTGCCTGGTTTGATGCTCTTACTTGAAGCTGGATTTCCCGTATCCTACCTGAATAGCCAGACAACTGAACTATATGTTTATTACCAGTTAGATTTTGAACAATATCTGTTTCTTTTTTCGGTTCTATAATTGGGGGTTTGTTGCTAAATACAGTGTTATATATTCCTTTAAAAGAATCTTATATTACAGCAGAAAGAATGATGGGAGAAAGCTATAAAGTGACTATTTGGGCCCATTGTTCCAATTACAGTGTTATATTTCCTCAACACAGCTGGAGTAAAGAATAAGTTCCTTAACAGTTTTAACTGACACATACAGCTGGTACAGTGGCTTCCATGGGAATACAGTGTTGCAGTGTGAAATTTAAATTACTGCTCAATGGCAAATGTTTCTGCTATAGAAACAGATTTAAATTTTGGGGGTACCCAGTATTAAACTAAAATTAAACTGACAAAAAGGCCTGTAGCACTGAGTCTTAAGTTGCAGTGTATTATAGAATTCAATTTAGGATCAGTCTTATTAAAGATTTGGCAAGCTACAATGAAGAAAGAAGAATAGTCAGAAAAAAACTTATGTTTTAACTAGAATACAGTTGTAAGAGGGCAAATGAGCCTGCTTTCCCTATTACAGATTAAAGACATAAATGAAGAGATTCTGTCTTCATTTATGTATCTACATCTCCACTGAACTCAGTAAAAGTTGCAGGTATATAGTTAGAGAACTGTTCACAGTCTTGTTTTATATTCATAACAAAGTTTTCAGCTTAAAACAATGGGCAAAGGAGAAAAGTCAAAGCTAATGAAAGCACATGAATCACTGAATCCACTTTAAAATATTGCAACTACTTGATAACTGTTCCTGTTGTAAATGTCATTGTGGCATGATTGTGATTTTATTTTTATCCATCACAGAGAGTGTTATGTTCACAATAAAATAAAATTCAAATAAACAGACACATAGCAATTTATTTTAATCCTCCTTAAACATTAGGTCAGTGGTACCCAAACCTTGCAGACAACAAATTGCCCATGACATCTTCTAGTGCTGTTGGCAGCTATAGGAAATTAAAAAGTTAAAACTGAAGTTGACAGGGAGAGCAAAGTATGATGTTGCCTGTAGCATGTTACTAGTGTAATTGTTGCAAGCATTGGCTATGAGCCAGTGAATGTTGGCAGTGACTGCTTCAGTCATTTATAACTCCTGTGCAGTTACTCTCAATGTCTCTACTGCAAGGATGGTAGTATACGGATAAAGGCATATGCTGGACCAGAACACTAAGAGAATGAGACCAACTACAGACAAACTTGTGACTGTAAATATGTAGGCTCAGTTAAACTTACTTATATTGAGAAACTGTATGTTATGACATTATAGCATAAAGTAGTCTAAGAGTGATGTTGTAGATGTGATGGTTCAGTGCAGACAAACAGTTGGCAGCAGTGATCCCTCACAGTTCAGAATGATCACTTCCACAGGTCAAGTAAAGTGTTATAAATGAGTCCACTGATGGCTAAGGAGCCAATTCTAGAGCTGTAGACTCTCTGGCTGATACCACAGGTGCTGGCTAAAGGGAAGGTCAGACCATGAATTTCTTAGTTTTGTTTCCTTTCTTTCCGTTTCTGTCATTTTTCTACCTCTAAGGTGAGACATTTTTCCTCAAAGTAAAATGTACCATCTCTCACAAGGCATCATTATGTAGCCCAGCCCCAGGCTAGTTTTTCCCAATTTGTGGTTGCAATGCCACACTTGTTAATGTTCACCTTGAGGGTGTCCTTGAAGTATTTCCTTTTTCTTTAGCCCCTGTGTGTCCCTTGTCCTTGGCTGAGTTGGGAATATAGCAGTTGTTTTGGTAAACGTACATCAGGTATGCACACACAGTGCCCTGTCCGCTGCAGCTGATGTTGAATAATCAGTGCTTCCTTACCAGTGGTGTTAGCAGTGGCAAGGACACTGGCATTTGTGTGATGATCCTCCCATTTTGTCAGGGGTCTTCCAGAAGTAACGCAGGTGATGGCATTCCAGGCTTTTCAGGTGGTCCCTGTAGGTCACCCAAGCTCCACAGTCATAGGCTAAAGTTAGGATTGCTACAGCCTTATATAGTAGGAGCTTTGTTCAAGACCTGATGTTGTGATCACTGAACACACAATGATTCAGTCTTCTGAAGGCAGAGCTGGCATGTTGGTCCCTATACTGGACTTCTTCATCAATATTGGCCTTTTTTTGAGAGATGGCTACTGAGGTATGCAGTGTTCAACATTCTCCAGCTCTTGTCCATCATTGAGGATTTTTGCCAGGGGAGCTGATTGGCCTGGAGCAGCTTGTGAAGCACCTTTGTTTTTCTGATGTTAGGGGTCAGTCTCAGGCACTAGTGTGCCTGAGAGAAGCAGTTAAAGGCCGTTTGTTGTCTTCCTCCGTATGTGCAATGACAACACAATCGTCAGTGTACTGAAGTTCCACAGTTGAAGCCAAAGTAACTTTGGAGGCATGGAGGTGGAAGAGATTGATAATGTCGCTGTCCATCCTGTACTTAGTGCTGGTGCAATGTGGCAGATGGTCTTGGATGAGCATCTTGAACACCGCAAGAAAGATGGAAAAAAAAATTGGTGCAATCACGCAGCCCTGATTGATGCCAGTTTGAATCGCAAAGGGCTCTGTAGCAGAGCCACTGCACAGATTAGAGGCAGTCATCTGGTCATGAAGGAGTCTTAGGATGGTGAAAAATTTCCCTAGGCAGCCAAACTTTAATCTTCTATAGAACCTCATGGTTAACAGAGTTGAAGGCTTTGGTCAAATCGATAAAGACCATATATAGTTCCTGGTGTTCTTGGCATTTTTCCGTGAGCTGTTGGGCTGGAAAAATCATGTCCATGGTGCCTCTCAATGGTCTGAAGTCAGACTGAGACTTGAGAAGGACTTCCTCTGCAAGAGGGAGCAGTCAGTTCAGCAGAATTTGTGTGAGAATCTTCCTACGATGGGTTGCTTTCAATGTTTCAGTACAACCCTAATGGACGTGATTGATCTCACTAAACAGTGATCGGTCTAGTAGACATTGGCTCCACTCATGACGTGTGTTATCCTCTTTTGGAATGATAGTCAGGATTACATTAGTCAGCATAAAACTGTTCTTTCTGTTCCTCCTTGGCATAAAGTTTTGGGACATGTGCACTAATGATGGTAGGAAACAAATTGTTGGTCAGTTGGGGGTGGAGAGTCATGAGGCACTCGTTAATGCCAACAGGGAATTTGGTCATTCGGCTGCCAATCTGGATCTTACTGGTGAAACCAACACTGTATATTTGCCTGTTGTCTGCACCATTTCATAGATGCAGGATATTGGCTGCCATGGCTCAAGCAGTGGCAGATTAGGGTGGTAGGTCTGTGTTGTGTCAGGGTTGATGGCAGATTATGGTTTGCTTAGGTTGGCTTGGATAGGAATGATCCTGTCTCAGGCAGGGGGTTGGATTAGATGACTTCTGGAGGTTCCTTCCAGCCCTGCTTCTGTATCATTCTGTGGTCCAGAAATTGTTAAGAGGCAAAGATTTCTTAGGCTGACATCCTTTATTGGACCACCTATATAGCTGCAATAAAGTTGGACAAGCTTTTGAATGCAAGGCATTTTGTCAGGGACAGCTGATAGAAATTATCTTGCATTCAAAGGCTTTTGTAACTTTCCAACTACATAGCTGGTCCAATAAAATATATCACCCTAAGAAATCCTTGCCTCTCACATTATAGCATAAGGAAATTCAAAAACCAAAAACAATTTTGGGTATGCATCAGAATGCTTTTGCAACAGATCTGGTATTGTCTATTTATGAATGCACTCAGCTGATTTCAGCTTGCATAGGACAATACAAGTTCCAGTAATATAGAAAGTTCTGATTTTTGTATAGGAAATTCGTTATTAAAAGTTCATTCATGATGATTTCACATCATTGCTCATGCTTATACCCTCAAACAATGTATAACACATGATTTTTGAAAGTAAGGAAGAGGAAACAACATTGTTATATCTATGAATGTCAATTATAGCTGTAGATATTCCAAACAAGCAAAAGCCCTGTACAATAAATGGAACAGTGTTTAAGGATTAGTAGCATCCAACAAAATCTCTTTAGTTTTATCAGATAATACATTAGAATAACATGTTACTGTAGTATGCTGTATTGTATCATTATCATATTTGGGTGTCATAATTTCCCTTCCCCCAGGAACTATTAAGATCAAGTGGTAACCCCTAAGTTTGTGTTAAACATGGAACATTAACTTAGAATATGTAATATTCCCTTGCATCTTTTTACATTTATGATAGAAAATACTATAAAAACCCAAATATTGCAAATGGCTCAGGAGAACTTACGTATTACTTAAATGATTGGCAAAACATTAAACACGACCTTTGTGGTTTCAGTTTTGTAGCAATGGCAGTAAGCCTGACCTTATTCCAATGCTGCCTACTGAATTATATGGCCTGCTGTTGTCCTCTGCATTGCAGATTGTGTTAAACTTTACTACAATGGACCTGTACAAGAGCAGTCTCTGCTGGTATGACTATATTGAAGTAAGAGATGGCTACTGGAGAAAATCACCTCTGCTCGGTAGGAAACTGTTTCCCCATTGCAGTTATTTTTCCTCAATGTATAGCTACAGGATGAAAACTAGATTCCGATCTTGATCCTTGCACTATCTTTGCTTTTTTTTGGCTAAGTACAGATGTTCAAAAAGCCCAGGGCGGAATTGATCAAACCTATGTGGGTTTCTGTAAGTAGCGTAGGTTAGATTGGGAGTGAAGAGAATATCCTGGAGGTGGGGCAGGGGGGCATGCAGGCTGCCTGCACTGGCTAAGGGCAGTAGGTTGGGGGCCCTCAAGATGTCTCCCAGCATGTCCCATGGGCTCTCTGGGCAGCTGGAGAATGCTGAGCACCACCAGTGGCTGGTCCACTCCTGATCAGGTATTGAGCACAGGTAAAAACATTTCCTTCTGCTGCGCCTGTGGCTGATATGACATGGCAGTGGGGGAAGGCATGTGTGCACATTCCCTGCAGGTGAGTCAGGCTCTGGCTTCATGGACCTGTGCCTATTCGCAGGGAAATGAAGGTCCCTGGGTGGGTGTGCAGGAACCCATCCAGGGACCCCCATTCCTTCATGAGTGGGCACATCCCCCTGGAGCTGGAGGCAGAATCAGAGGCCAAATGGCCTGCAGGGCACAGGTGAGCATGCCTCCACTCACTGCCGTGTCATGTCAGCCAAAGGACCTGTCAGCTGCAGGCAGGCAGCAGGTGGAGGTGTGCTTGCCAGTGTCCTGCAGCCTGGTTGGGCTCTGCCTCCAGCTCTGTGGGGCTCTGCCTGCTTGCAGGAACATAGGGGGCATTTATACATGTGGTCTGGGAGTGGGGGTGGATACTTTAATTAGAGTGGCTCCACAAGTCGTTCCAATTAAAGTGTCAGGAGTGTTATATGTGTCAGTGTCCCTGCACTAAAAGCACCCCTGCCATCATTTTTCAGCACAGGGATGCTGATACACATTATGCTGGATTCTGCTGGAGCACGGCGATTACTATGCTCCAGCAGACTCGATTAATTGAGTCTGCTGCAACATGCTGTAATTACAGCACATCAGAGCAGCCTCACTGTACGTGTACAGGTGCCCAGGGCTCCCACACACCTATCCAGGAACCCCCATGCCTCTGTGACTGGGCACAATCCCGTGAAGCTGGAGCCTAACCGGGCTGCAGGGCACAGGTGAGCATACCTCCACCCTCTGCCTGCCTGCAGCTGACAGTTGCCTGGAGGCAGGGCTGAGGAAAGGGTCTGTACTGACTCAGCTCTGTGACAGCCCAGGGAGAGTCTGCTGGGCTCTCAGCCAGAGGAGCTGAGCACAGGGCTAGTGGGGGCCTGCAAAGGAGTCTGGAGTGCTGGCAGACAGCAATCTAACCTGAATCAACAGGGGATCTGGTACAGAAGTTCAATGCATTAATCTAACCTAAATCAATTAAGTTTGAGGGCACATTGATCCAGGTCTATCTTAGACCAGATTCTGCCATTTTTATGCCAGTCTACGTGTGCCAAAGTTCTGTTCTGTTACAGGTGTAGACTGATTTTTGATCACTTATACCAGTGAAAGAGTAATGTCTATATCTGGCCCTTCAGAAGTATCTAAAATAGATAAATAAACCTGTCTTAAGACTATGCTGCTAGTGTGCCTGATTGTTACATCTGTGAGTGGGTGTAAAGTTCTGGTTCACAGCTCTGTCTCCGTAGCTTTTCAGGAGAGCAACTTTAGTTTGTGTAATAATGGACCTGACCCCAATGAAAGTTGCTTGCAAGTCAGTAATTTAGTCCACAAATTATGGCTAATTTGTATAAATATATGAGTGGAAACAGTTGTTCTTAAGTAAATACTTTAAATATGAAAAAGGAGACCTGCAAAATAGATGATTTAAGAATAAATGTCTACTGCAGTATTTCTGCATATTAACTTACTAAACTGTTAGGTTTGGGGGTAGAAATATAAGAATACTTTTTTGCCAACACAGAAGAGCATGTGCTCTCAGTGTGTATTATTGGTAATGAACTTCATTTGACTAGGACAGGAGATATAAAGTTCTATTTCATAGCTTTGTTTGTAGCTTTTCTGTTGTTGTTAGGAGAAAGGAACTTTTAGTTTATATCAAGTTTTGTGACCAGTAGTCTCTATAGTATATGCCTCCACTCTTGGCCTTTTGCTTCAGGCTACATTCCAGCATAGAACAATGTTGTTTTTAAACTAGAAGAAATCTGAGACGTTACATTTTTGCTCTTTCAACTAATACAATTCAAACCAAATTTTAACTGTGGAATTAGACACAGATATTTGACTGAAATTTAATGTATGGTTTTTAGTATATTTCACTGGATGTAATTAAACATATGTAGAAACAGATGCACTGATACCCAGAACTGCTTACTTGGAGTGTATATTTACAAATGTATACAAATACATCCATATATATGTCAGTGTATAATAATTTACATTGCCACATATATGACAGCAGTATTTATGTCTGTCTTATAAATAGCATATATCTCAGATTTTGACATCATCATCTGTGGCCTAGCCACTAATGAAAAGTCTTTGATAATTACTATATCAAACCTTACCTTTTTTATATTTACGATGTGTCAGATAAACATTGTATCTGACCAAATTGGAATTGTTACTTCTCCCAGAATGTCTACCAGAACTTGGTCCCTCAGGGGAGATAAGTGGAAGAATGCCTTATTCTACCTTACATCCTGGTAGGGTTTAGGCATTAGCTAGGTAATGACTTAGCTGTATCAAAACTGAGGCACTTGCCACTCCTTGGCAAACCCTTTAAGAGCTTTGAAGGTGGCCTAATACTAAAAGAAACCAAGAATTATAAAAGATAGTTCTATTATAATAAGATCAGGGGAAGGGTGTATTAATATTTAAGCACTAAACTGCAGAAACATGTGCTTAACTTTAAGCATGCAAGTAATTCCATTGAAGGCATTCAGATAGCTCTTGTTTATAAATGTGTACAAGTGTTTGCAGGACTGGGGCTTTAAAGTTGATATAAAATGCACTTACTTGTTGCTTGTTTTTAGGTAGGTTCTGTGGTGATAAACTGCCTGAAGTCCTTGCATCTACTGACAGCAGGATGTGGATAGAATTTCGTAGCAGCAGTAATTGGGTAGGAAAAGGTTTTGCAGCAGTTTATGAAGGCAAGTCACTTTGAATAATAAAGAAGATAGAATTGTATAGATAAAGATAAGGAAAAAAGATTTTAATATATATCTTATGGACCATTAATATGAAAACATTTTCTTAATATTGAAATATTTTTGTAGTAGTAATTTAATATTCTTTTTTAATTGTCAATATGACTATATAACAGAGATCTTCTTTTGTAGTGATATCAGTCATCGTATTTGAAACTCACTTTAGCTTTCTTGAGTCCTGTTCTTTAGCCCATGGCAAAATTTCTACATGGAGATTACAGCATATAAGGACATTTTTATTTGTCTTTGTTCAGTTGTGTTGGGTATATTTTGTTAAATCCTTAATAGGGTTAGCAGTATCTCATGTGAATATTGGAGAAGAGCAGTTTTTACATATTTCTTGTTGGGCATCCTATTTAAAGAAGAGAAAATATTTTATATACATTGTTCTGTATCATGAGTACTGTTCTCAGAAATCTGGCATTTATCCTCCATGTACTGTAGCAAAAGTTAAGAATCGCCCAAATGAAATAAAATGGAGCCCATTTATTATAAAGTAAAAATTTGGTGGCAAGTGTTGTAGTTTTAATGGAGTCTGCAGTACAATGGGGTCAATTGTATAGTTTTAGGAATAGATTAGACAAAGACTTGTATGGGATGGTTTGAATAGGGATGGTCCTGCCTTAAGCCAGAACTTGGACTAGATAGTCTCCAGAGGCCCCTTACTTTTCTATGACCCTATGAATTTATGTTTATAGGTCCTGATTCTGAACATATGTTTTTGTGTAACTTTACTGATGTTAGTTGTTTAACTGGACTCAGATTTGGGTAAATACTCATAGATTACTGTAGAAAATGAAGCTTTTGCCTCAGTCTTCTCTTTTCTTATGGTAAGTTCCAAATCAGGATGTAGTAAAAGGCAAATAAAAAGTACAATAGCGTAACTATTTTGATATTCTTACGATCTTTATGAATGTTTAAAAATACGGAGCCCCTAAAAAAACTCCCTGTAAAATGTTCAGTAGCTTAGTTGACCTTGGTTTCAACAATTTGACCTTGGTAGCATGTTTTTTCCTAGTACAACCCCATCACCAACTTTACAGCAAATACAAAAAATATCAGCCCAAGAGGAAAAACTGTCAGTATCGACCATATACTTAGATTGAATTTTATGCTTTCCTCAGCAATTTGTGGAGGTGAGATCCACAGAAATGAAGGCCAGATCCAGTCTCCTAATTATCCTGATGACTACAGACCAATGAAGGAATGTGTGTGGAAAATAACCGTGTCAGAGAACTACAATGTCGGATTAACCTTCCAGGCATTTGAGGTAAAGCCTTTTAACTGATCTCAGCAAACCATCTAGTGGATAAATGACAGTTGTATGTTAAGGGAATCCTCATTAAACCAATGAAGAAACAAAGAATTCTGTAAGAAAAATAACCTCAAGTCAAATTTTCCTGTTCTTGAAACCTTTCCTGTTGCAGAAATTTTCAAGAAGATTAAAAGGGTTTTATGTTATCTGTGCTATTTGAATTGGAAAGTTTAAGCACTGACAATAGATTCTTTTCAGAAAATGTATAATCCTGTCCTGCTAGGTTGCTTTAAGGATCCATTAAATAAAAGGGCTGTTATTTCTTTTCTAAATCTAATTGTGAGGGTTGGGATGGGGGGGAGTTGTCTTTCTGCAAATAAACCAGTATTTCTGCCTATATTATGTACTCTGATTTTCTGTTTAAAAAAGCCAATCCTTAAATGTGGTCTAGCAGCACATGTTTAGAGAAATAATACTGTGGCAATTCAAATTTTAATATCTATGAAATATTTCTGTCTCTGTATGAATGTATCTCTGTGTTGCTATGGAATTACACAGGCCAGTAAACTTACCTGTAACGAGGACAAGTGATATTTCAGACAACCCCTATGCATCGTGTCTGCACTAGTTTGGAGGCTTCAGTTAAATTGAGTAATGCTCTTGTTTCTACTTGTTTTTTGTTCAAATATTTCACAATATTATTGACTTAACTTTAAAAACAACATGCATCTTTCTTTATCATCTTTTTTTTTTCAACATACAGTATTCATGATCCTTATATAATCCTGATCTTGCAGCCTATAAGACCATGTAACACCTTGTAAAACTTCTGCAAGTTTGTGGAGTGGAACTGGAGTTAAGCCTTACATGAGCAAATTTACCAGCAGTGATGAACATAAATTTTACCCAAGAAGAGGTTTTCATAACTGTTTACCTGCAGCCCCTTATCTTTGCCATGTCTTAAAATGAAGATCCCATACTGCACAGGCCAGGTTTTCCCCTTTTTCCCCCCAATGATCCTTTCACAAACCAGTTAGGTTTCCTGCGGCCTGATTTACGGTTACCCAAACTAACATGTCCATATCTGCCTTTTGAACACTTCTAAGCAGTCTGTATTTTTTGCAGGTGTAAAAGTCTTAATGATATCTTTGTAATAATGAAGAGTTATAATTATAAGTCTGTTAATATTAGTATGGATCAGGGTAGCACTATGGTATAAGTATTACACAAGATTATTCTATACAGTCAAGCAAAGCCTTTCTATCAATAGTCATGCTAAGGGATAGAGTGGCAGTTTTGGTTTTTATTATAACCTAAGATGAATCAGTTTGCTGGTTTTGACAAGACAAAGACAAGTTTGTCCATTTACTATGTATAAACTAAATAAGCTATATAGAAGTCAGTGGTTTTATTGAGAGTATTGCTTCTCAAACCATTTATGGGTTTAGTGTTGCCTCTTGTTTCAAGAATTTTTGTTTTACTTTCTTCATGTGCTCAAGGGTTTGATGCAGGAAGTTTTGGGAAAAGAAATAAAGATACATAAGTGATGAAACAAAGAAATTAAATGAATTCTGGAGTCCCTTCTGTTTAAAATAAAACCCTCTTTACAGCTGTACTCATGTTAAGAGCTTGTTGCAATTCCTCACCTATTTTCACTTTGTTCCTAGTGACAGGCAGTCAGGTTTCAGGCATGTATATGTATCTACTACTAATTAAGAAAATTATATTAAATCTGTAGCCAAAGGCACATTCTTTTTATATCTGTAAGGCCATGCTGAAATACAGATTGAGGCATCCACGTGGGGCTGAGATAACTGAGTCAAAACCTGAAATCTTGAAAAGTTGCCACCTAGCCCTGGAGACACCCATTTTTTTTTCTTCTTGTTCCCCAGGCTTAAATTTCTGCTTCTACTCATGCCTACAAGGACCTTCATTTTAACAGAACTGAGCACCTCCTCACTAGTATTAGGTCATGTTTAAACCTGACTGGGATTAAAGAAAAAGGCATGCCTCGAAATACCTCCTTTGAAGGGCTCAGTCTAGTAGGCTCTCTCAGAGGAGACTTGACACATGCCTTTTGGGTTGCTGTGACAGACAAAAATGCAGTGGAGGTTGCTTCTTTCTCTTAAAAGCAGTGGGGGGTGTTGTTCCTACTTATCAAATAGGTTCATAGTTAGTATGCTTACCCAAGATGTGGGAGTCCCAGTTTCTCATCTCTCTCTTGTAGTATTCAAACATGTATCTCTTACCTCCTTCAGGGATGTCCTACACACATGCCAAAGGCTATTCTGGAATGGAGTCTTGTCAAGGAAAGAGGGATACTCCCTCAACCTCCTTTTGAAACTGTTCCACTCTGCAAAAAAAGAGACATTGTGTGAGAAGGAAGGAATATGATTTTCTTTCTTACTGATTAAGGCACGTGTGTGGAAGGATGGAGACCTATATTCTCATCCCCACTCCAAGGACTGCTTACATATTTTACCCAATGATTGCTCAATGTTGGTGTATCCTCAGGAGGGAGAAAGAGAGATGGGAAAGGAAGAGTAGTTGACTCTCTAAAGGCAGAGGAAAGAGCAAACCATATGTGCCCCATCCTGAGCGAGTGTCGTAACCACAAGGCACTCACTTAAATGAGTTTTAAGTCCTTCTCCATTTTTTTTAAGCAAGTCACCTAAGTGCTTAAGTTTTATTCAGGTATATGAGTAAGGAAATATGGATGGGGCTTTGGCCAGACTGAGCCCCTCTTATCAGAATGTCCTACTGAATAGCTATGGGTATCTTCCAACTGAATACCTGGTTGCTTTTTGATCCCATTCTGAAGTGCCTAACTCTCACCATAGTTTGGGAAGCCTAACTTAAGGTTCTGGATTCCAGTCCAGAATAAAATTCCAGTCCAGAATAAAATTCAGTTCAGATCTTCTCTGGAAATACAGCTGATTGTGGATTTCCTATATCAAGACTGATCAGTGTGCTCCTTACTTTCTTTATGAATTCAGATAAGGCAATAAGTAAAGGTGGTCAAGAATTTTTTGACAAGCTACAGCTATCCATGGAACCAACCATGTAAATGGCACCTTTGTCAAGAAGGTTTCAAATATTCAGGGTGTGTTTTTTTTCCTCTCTATCACTAACCCTAAATGTTCTGTATCCCATGGTTGGGGCACTTGCAGGGGATATGAGTAGACCTAGGTTCAAGTCCCTGCTCTTCCTAAATCAAAGTAAATACAGAAGGGAAGAGTGGGACTGGATCCTTGTTACCTCAGCTGAGTGCTGGCACCATGAGTCTATTAAGTATTCTGGCAGGTTTCTGTGGGGTTTTTATTTACTTATTTATTTAATGTTTGGGGGACAACTCTATGAAAAGTCTTATTTTAGTCCAGAAAAGTTAGAGATTTTGTTTTCTTGGCATTCCAAGAAACAGGTTGCTTGCCTCAGTGAGTCCATAAACCCCACTTAATTTTTCCTCGGGATTACCATCAGCTAACACGGCAAACATTACCAGCCTGTTGCACTAAACAGTATATAACACACAAGACACTAAAATTATAAGTGTTCTATGATATTATAATGTATGCGATTAATGGTAGTTACAGGTTAGTATACATTGACCGTCATTTAAATGCATCTTTACAATATATGCCTTTATCATTATTTGTGATTTGAAAGGGAAATGCTAAATAATATGATAAATTTGTTACTCTAGTTAGTAGTAATTGTCCAGCTTTTAATGGAATCTGTATTTTAATAGTATATGTGGTCTGATATGGTCATGCTGATAAATAAACACATGAAATCAATGTGGCCCCACAATAGAGCACTGTATTGAGACTTGGTTTTGACTTCTGTTGCTAGCTCTGCTAATGCCCTTGGTGATAATGATGCTGAACTCCCTTTTAAAGTGCTTTGAGACCTCATGGGAAAAGTGCTATATTATTATTATTATTATTTAACAACCACAACATTCCTGTGATATGGGCAAGTGCTGGAAGTATTTTTATCCTATTTTCCAAATAGGGAAACTAGTCCATAGAGTAAAATTTTCCAAATATGCAGTGTAATTTTTTTCCACAGGAAAATTCTTGTACTATCCTTAGCAAACCCATGCATATTTAAAACAAATGGAAACTTATTTGGCTGTTCTGACATGCAGAAGAACTTTCAGAGGCTGGATACAATACTTTCAAAGCTAGATACAATCCTCAGGTGAAGGTGGAAAGTTAGGAATCTTGGAATGCTTGATCTTTACTCTTTTCTATATGACAGAAGGATTGTATGTCAGAAAGCTGATCTGAACTTGTTCTCTGCTGCTTAGCCTGCTTATATCACTTATTCTTTAGATCTTCTTGAGATTTAAGGTGTCAGAAGAATGGGGTAAATGCATGCAATAGGCTATTTTAATATTGGTATATGAGGCAAAGTGAGTTTTTTGACACTGATGCCATGGTCTGAGCCACATCAGCCCCTTTCTCTAACTCCCACAGTTACTTGACATCATTTCACCTTGCATGCTCTTTCTGGTTATTGCTGCAAATGTCTCTATCTTAGGGATTTCTCTAGCTTTTTTTTCCTTCACCCCAGTCCTGTCATGTTTCTCTTCTGGGTTTCCTCAGGAGCCTTCAGCAACTGATGATTTATACTACTAACACAGTTACAGCCTTGTTTCTAAAAAGCATGTTTTATTTGTGAACAGTTTTCATGATTCTTTTTACCCACATGTAATTTGAAACAATGAGGTTTTTAGTTCTCCAATAAATAAAGTTATAGATCCAATCCAGTTGCCACTAAACTCAGCAAGAATCATCTTACTAATTTAAATAGGTTCTTAAACCCTGTAATGGGAAGCAAAACAGAATTTTGCAGCCTATCATAGCAGATTCTTGTGTAGCAGCACTGCCAGATATCATAGTATCATAATGTCCAAAAGTCTGAGGTACAGATTAGGAAAAAACATTTCAAATAAATCCTCTCTTATTTGGTGCCAAAAGATTTCAGTATCAGTTATTGCTTCTCCAAAAATGCTGTATTTATCCCCTCTTATGTTTTTGGGTGGTGTTACTTAATCTCTAAATATTGTTAGTACTGGCATCACTTGCAGTAGTACTGAACTAAAATATTAATATAGTAAAGTGATCACCTTACATGATTTTTTTTTTTAGTGTAAATCAATAGCACTTTATAAATGGGTTGATTTTTTTTTTTACTCTTAGGTGTTTAGCAATTTACCACTGTCCAAAATAGATTTTTATCTTTCTTTCTCTGCCAACAATGAAAAGTGATCATTAGAACGGAAACTCAGGAATTTTTCAATGTGTGTTGAGCACATGTAATTCAGACCTGCATTTGGCCTATAAAAAAAAAAAATTAAACTCCCTTTTTAAGTCGAATAATGCTCTAATAACACAGAAAAAGATGTTAAATTACAAGATTTGTCAAATGCCTTTATGCTGTAATAAAACCAAGATGTTAAGAAAACCCTACAATCATACTATTGATTTCAATTGCTTATAGAACTTTTCTCCCTACATCTGACTATAACAGTGGGTTTTTTATGTATTGGTGTTAATAACATTTTGCAAAAGTTGTACATGCACTAAATGTAATCATTGAAAAAAATCTAAGGTTAATATTAACATTTGGAATATGATGCAATCTGGTTAAAACATACCCTATAGAAAGCTTAAAACCTGTTATTTTATAGGATTTATATCTTGACTTTAGCAAGGCTTTTGCTATGGTCTCCCACAACATTCTTGCAAACAAGCTAAGGAAGTACAGTTTGGATGAATGGACTGTAAAGTGTATAGAAAAGTGTCTGGCTCAATGGTTAGTGGGCAGCCAGTATCAAGTGCAGTGCTCCAGTGGCCTCTCTTGAGGTCTGTCTTCTTAAGTATCTTCATCATTGACCTGGAAGATAGGATGCAGTGCATCCTCAGTAAGTTTTCAGGTGACACAAAGCTGAGGGGAATAGTAGATACACTGGTGGGTAGCACTAGGATTCAGAGAGACCTAGCCAAATTGGAGGATTGGATCGAAAGAAATGTCTCAAGGTTCAATAAGGAGAAGTGCAAAGTCCTGCACTTTGGATGGCACAATCCCATGCACCCGTACAGGGTGGGGACTGACTGACTAAGCAGCAGCTCTGTAGAAAAGGACCTGGGGGTTATAGGGGAAAATAAGCTGAATATGAGCCAACAGTGTGCCTTTGTTGCCAAGAAGGCTAATGGCATAGTGGGCTGCATTAGTAGGAGCATTGCCAACAGATTGAGGGAGGTGATTATTCCCCTCTATTCAGCATTGGTTAGGGCACATCTGGAGTACTGTATTCAGTTTTGGGCTCCCCACTACAGAAAGGGTTTGGACAAATTGGAGAGAGTTTAGCAGAGGACAATGAAAGCAGTTTGAGGGCTGGGGCATGTGATTTATGAGGAGAGACTGAGGGAACTTGGCTTATTTGGTTTGCAGAAGAGACAATTGAGAGGGGATTTAATAGCAGTTTTCAATGTGATTTCAAGAGGATGGATCTGGACTCTTCTCTGTGGTGGCAGGTGACAGAACAAGGAGCAGTGGTCTCAATTTGCAGCAATGGAAGTTTAATTTAGATAGTAGGAAAATTTTCCTCACAAGGAGGGTAGGAAAGTACTGGAACAGTTTACCTGGAGAGGTTGTGGGATCTTCATCCCTGGAGGTTTTTAAGACCTGGCTAGACAAAGTTTGGCTTAGAAGATCTAGTTAGGGGTGGTCCTGCTTTGAGCAGGGGGTTGGACTGGATGACCTCCTGAGGTCCCTTCCAACCTTAATTTTCTATGATTCTGTGATTTTTGGATGTTCAGTTGGGCATATGCCTCTGATTATGTTAGCTATATACACACAACTCCTGTTCAAACCATTACTAGGAAGACTGTGCTCCAAATTATCTGGACCTTTCTTACTGCGTATTCTAACTCTAGTTCTGATGCTGCTTATCATCCGAATACTTGGATAAATGGGCCATTTAACAGATTGAAAATGAAATGACAGTTTAAATATCAGTTCTGTTATTTTAGAAGCGAATTTCTAATTCCAGCCTGCTTCCCACACTGTGAAGGGGCCTGAAACTAATTATCCACTCCCTAATCCCCTCCCCACTACATATATTTTCCACACAAATTTTGCACTACCTTGAAAATGGAGGGAGAGCATAAAATGCATTTAATTTTGTATCTACATAAACAACACAAAGGAATGTGTTATAAATTATGATGTATTTAATATTTAACTCAATAAAACTTAAACTTTTTATTCTGTTAAAAGCTAGCACCTGATTTTTTTTAGACTTCCACATTAGAATGTACAGAAGCCTAGAGACCTCCCATTGAATTTTGATCAAACGTTTGGGGTTCACAAACAGTTTTGTTTACTATTTATTCCAAAGATACTTTAACTTAGCTGAGCTGTTATATCATATTTTAATGTTAAAATCATGCTTTTCCTTATAAAAATCAATGTAGTAATAAACAGTATTATTAATAAGCAGTTTTACATAACATGATCAGAGATCTATCCTTCATCAAAGTTTTTATTCTGTTATCAACAGAAAACGACTTGTGTTTAGGAATGTGTAATGTCCATGGTTTAAAAATATATTTTTGATGTCTTTACAGATTGAAAGACATGACAACTGTGCTTATGACTACTTAGAAGTTCGAGATGGAACCAGTGAAAATAGTCCTTTGATTGGCCATTTCTGTGGCTATGATAAGCCAGATGATATTAGATCTACCTCCAATACCCTGTGGATGAAGTTTGTTTCTGATGGAACTGTTAACAAAGCAGGGTTTGCTGCTAACTTTTTTAAAGGTATTTATTAAAATAAGGTTTGTGGAGGAGGGATCTGTCTCTCAAGTCATAATGCAGAAGAATTTAAAAAAAATTCTGTTATGCTATGATAGATATTAAAGACAAAGCTTAGGAGGGGTATAAGTTAAAATTAATTTTAATTTCTATTCCTATTAGAATGAATTTGCCTAATTTGTCATGGCCTTTTCCTGTATATTATTACTGTAGTTGTGTATACTTTTGCAAGGTAGGAGTTAATGCCACTGCTGCTCATTGCCCTTTTCCCCTACTGCTGATTTTAGTCACCACAGCCGTTAATGATAGTAAATGCAGGTATCAAATTTAGGCAAGAATAGTTCAAGCAAATTAACAAACATGTAGATGCATTAAAGCACATTAATGCTAACTTGGGACTAACTTTATTCCCAAGTCAATCCACAGACATCGCTAATGGGTTTTAATACATGCACATGTAGACACCTGTGTAAACCTGCTTAATGCATATTAAGATAATGTGCATCAAATTTAGGCATGCTTAAATGCATGTGTAAAACACCCCTAATATCCAAAGAGGTTTGGGGGACAGTGCCTTGTCTAGCATGTGTCAGTTGTCATTCCACATGCATCTACACTGGTCAGCCCACTGCAAGCATAGTGGCAAGGTCCACCCAATCTACACCCTGTCCTGCCTTCCTGGATAGGATGGGAAAGTGAAGCATGTGGCTCTGGCTTTCCCTCCACTTGGCAGCCTATGGTGAAGCAAGTGCATGCACAAAAGTAAGGGGACAGCCATTTATTCTCTTGTGTGGTCACAATGGGCTAGTGATGATTAAGCTTGTACCATCAATCTAAACTCTGCACTAGCACAGTGAAAGCTATAGATGTAAAAGTAGGAGGGAAAGGGTTGTTTTTGTTATATTGTTTAATTTCAAAAGAAAGCATTCTCCATGTTTATCACTGTGTAATGACATATTTCTGTACCTCAGGTATATTTGGCCTGAATATAATGAGCATATTTTAAAGCTAGAAGAGTTAATACTGTATTCCTTTTTTCCTGCTGTATCTTGTTCTCTTTAATATCAGGAGAATGAAAACCTGGAATTTGAGGATTCCATTAATCTGGTTTTGAGTATGAATACAGGATAATGTACAGATTCATTCTGTTGGAGATAAAGTGCCCTTCAGCTGACCCTGATGTGGATTTCCAATCATTCTCTCAGTACTTTACACAACCTTTAGATTGCTGCAGCCTAAATTATTGAATGCAAGCTTATAAATGAGGTCTGCAGCTGTCAGTTGCTGTTGTTGTGAAACAGGAGAACATAAGCTTTATTTTCTCATTGCAGGTTCATAACAATTTAAAAACACTGTAGTCAGCAGACATGATGTGTTATTTAGTACAAGTTACAATGGTGTGCATGCAACAAGCTGGAGAGCTATTTAGTTAGCTGTGAAAAAGGTAAAGACTTATTAATTAAGCTTTCTCCATTCCTTTCTATCTTGATAGAGGAAGATGAATGTGCCAAACCTGACAATGGAGGCTGTGAACAGCGATGTGTGAATACTCTGGGCAGCTATCAGTGTGCTTGTGATCCTGGGTATGAACTTGCACCTGATAAAAAGAGTTGTGAAGGTACAGTATGCCACTAGGGCTAGGGACAGACATTCAAAAAGCCTGAGCCTGAATTGATTCAATCTTTGCAGCTTGCTCTAACCTGGCTAGGCTAAATCAGTTTTGTAACCAGACAGACATCTCAGAAATGCAGGCACGTGCCTGCAGTGGCTCAGGGTAGAAGCTGGAGGGCACTAGAGTAGCCCTCCCTTCCTTCCACAGGACTGAGCTGAGAGGGGTATGGCCGGGCTCTGGCAGGAACTCTAATTAGCCCAGCAGGGAATTGATAACAGTGTTTATCACCCAATTAAGAAAACAACAGAGGGACAGTACCAGCTACTTGTTGATTCTGCCTGTTGATTCTGCCTGTTGATTCAGCATGGACCATAGCCAGCATGGGTCTGCTAGCTAATACACCAACAGCTCTTCAGCAAGGCAGAGGGGAGGAAGGAATTCCTGACTAGCAGGGAGTGGTGGTGAGGGGAAGGGGGAAGCAGCCTGCAGTCTCTATCAAGCTCCAGCCAGAGAGCATGCCGAGATGCTGGGGGTGCCTGGTTTATCTTAAACCAGTAGTGGGTGTGGGACAGACGTTGCAAAACCGGTTTGACCCAAATCAGTTAAGTCTGATACAACATTCAACCAGGTTATCTCAAACCAGTTTCAGCTATTTTCAAACTGGTTTATATGCATTGAACATCTGTTCTGTTACAGGTTCAAATCAGTTTCTGATCACTTAAACCAGTTTATGTGTAATGTCTGTCCCTAACCTAGTTGTTAAGGTCCTAGATTACATTTTACAAAGCCATTTTACAGTACGTTTTTCATGTGCTGTGATTTAAGCAGGAATTTGTCTAGGTATGAGTATCCACTTGGGAAAACAGTGAGATAGCTTCACGCTAGGAAACAGTAGTATGTCTATAATATACTACTGCCTATCTATAATAGTCTTATTCATCAATTGTAAATTTACCCTGTTCAGGCTTTATCGTCAGTACAATGATATACAGTGGAGTATGGTTAATTCGTACTTTACTGATCCACTCTGTAATTTCACTTCATAACACTGTAGTCTTTCCCCATGTGTTAGCAAAGATTTACTCACAGAGCAATATATTGAGGTATTATATTTCAAAGGCATCATTATTATTATTATAAAATTATCTGACATTAGTTCATTAATATACTACAGTGTGTCATAATAAATAAACTAAGCTTCATGTGCTTATTACATGAAATATTTATTTATTGTTATAATGATATATTTGTGATATGTTTTCATGCACTAATTTGCCAAATTCAGTAGTTTGCCATGTGTTTCTGATGTTTGGTTTTAAACTTTGCTCCTACCTACATTTTCTTTCTTATTTAAAATATAATTTGTCATCAAAACTATCTATTAAAAACAAGGAAATAAAAATATATATATTTATATAAATCAAAATATATATGATCAGCACTATTGTTTATTAAAATAGTAGGAATAATATGAAGTGAGTTCAAAAACACCAGTCAATTCAAACATGTTATATTTTATCTTTGTCTGAATATTGTAATATGTCTGAAAAAGTGCAACTTCCTTTACATGAAGTTAAAACTACAATTTCTAAATTCTCTAGGTATGTGAACAGATTTATGAGACTGTTTTAACAGTTATTTTCTGTTTAGTTCCCTCATCTTTTTCTTGCCACAATAATAGGCATGTATGAGGCATTTTAGTTCCTTTTAGGTCATTGACAATGAAAACATATGGTAGTTCATAAACCATGATTTTTTCTCAGTTTTTTTAACGTGTATCAAAATGAGCCCATATTCCAAAAGTTTCTTATGACAAGGGCTAAGTACAGACAGTCAAAATGCCTTTGGCTGAATTGAATCAATCTTTGCAGGTTAGTCCTAAACTGTGTAGATTGAAACAATAAGCGAGCAAACAGACATTCACTTTTGATTCCAGAAATTCAGCCACATGCCTGCAGTTGCCAAGGCCAGAAGCTGGGAGGTGCTAGAGCACACCTCTTTGCTTGGCTGGAGCAGAAGGCTTGGGCCAAAGCTAGCTGCCCACCCTGTGAGGTGGGGAGGGGACTTTGGGGGAGGAAGATATTTAGGAGGAAGTACTTCTGAGTGGTGCTACATTAGCTAGTACCACAACCAAAAGAGACCTGAGGGTCATGATCAACCATAAAATGAACATAAGTCACCAGTGCAATGCTATAGCTGGCAAAGTGAACAACACTGTGGCACGCATCAACCAATACATTGCAAGCAAGACTAAAGATGTTTGTCTCCACTGTGGCTAGGTGGCAGAGAGACGCAACAGCAGCAGTGGCTGGGTTCGAGGCACCAGCCTGCTACAGACATGAGTTGGGTTGATTTGTCCTCAGCTGGAATACTGTGTCCAGTTCTGGGTGCAGCATTCAAGAGGGATGTGAAGAAGCTGGAACGAGTTGAAAGGAGGGCCACATGAATGATTAGATGTCTGGAGAGCAGACCATATGAGGAGAGGCTGAGGGACTTGGGGCTGTTCAGCCTGGAGAAGAGAAGATTCAGAGGGGATTTGCCGGCAGCCTTTAAGTATACAGTATAAGGGGTGAACATCAGGGTCTAGGATAACACCTGTTCACCAAGGCACCCCAGGAGAAGATTAGGAATAATGGTCATAAAGTGATAGAGGGTTGCTTCAGATTAGACATTAGGAAAAACTACTTTACAGTTCACATGTCCGTAATCTGGAATAGACTCCCCCCAGAGGTGGTACAATCATCTTCCCTCAAAAGACAACTGGATACTCACCTCGCTGGGGTCATCTGACCTCAGCAGTCTTTCCTGCATGGAGCAGGGGCGCTGGACCTGATGATCTCTGAGGTCCCTTCCAGCCCTTAATTTCTGTGAACCTATGAATCTTAGCACTTGCTTACTAGCTGGAGGCACAGTTCTTATGAGAACTGGCACAAACTAGATGAAAACAGACATCACCTTTGTGCTGCCATAAAAATGTTGTGGTGGCACAAAATGAGAGCAAAAAGACATAAATACCTGCTGTCATACTACAAGTGCTTAAATTTGTGACTGCAAGAAAAAGTGGTATTAAATTTGGCCACTTTATCTGTCTGCTTATGGCAGAAGAACTTGGGCTGTGTGAAGCTGCCCAGGCTCTCCTGACTCCTGGGGGAAGGAGCTCTGTGGGTTTGAGGGGCAAATTCAATCCCCTCAAGCCTTGGGAGTGCCAGCCTTGGTTTCCAGCGTACCAAGGCCCATCCCCCTAGGGGACATGTCTGAGGTGTGGGGAAAGTCAGGGCTTTGGGATGTGTCTGCAGAGGGACCCCAGTGTGACTTCCTCCCTCTCAGTTTGCAAGTGCATGGGGGGAAATCCCTTACAAAGAGATTTTCCTCTAGGCACCTGCAAACCCAGGGCAGGTACCTGAGCTTTACCTGCCTGCAGATGCACCCTACGTTGCACTGTGCATGCCCAGAAGAACCATCATGTTTGATCCAGTTTGCCCAATGTCTGTATAAATCATGCACTTCAGTGGGGCTTTTTTAACACTTTTATATAATAGCTGATTGAATCAGCTTTAGATAAAAGCACCCAAAAGCCCCTCTGAAATGCATGATCTATACAAATGCTGCGGAGCCGGGTTGACCTAACATACTGGTAAAGGACGGGGTGGGGGGTTTATTTTTCATATCCATCAGCAGCCTTAGTAATGCCAATAGAGTACCACAGCCATTGTGAGTACCACAGATGGAGCAGAGCAGTACTAAACATCTCTCCTTGACTTTTTAAAATATGAAGCCAGGTTGTCAGATGAATACACTTAGGCTTCACTGACTTAGACTGTTCATTCTCTACTATCTGTTGCACTTTTGGTGATACAATATTGTTCTCCGATATGACTAAATAGCTTTTTCTTTTTTAAAGAGGAAAACGAGTGACAAATAATAGAACAACATACACTTTTAAAAAACTCAGGATTGCTGGTGTTTACAACATTTTTAAATTGCCTAATGGCCATTCAAATATTTAAGAATGAACCATGAATAACAGAGTATAGAATTTGGGAAGTTTATATTGATATATTTTTATTTTTAACAAAGTTAAATCTTATGTATGAATAATATCTGGCTACTACCACTGGGTAAAGGGCAACTAAGATGGACTACAGTTAGGAAGAGGCACATTTATATAAGCTAGGGAGAAAAGACTTCTTTGGATAAGGTATTTTGGAGAAGGAGTAAGGGAAAGGAAGAGTATTCTGGTAATCCTGTGATATTCAAAGAAGAGGGAAGTCAAACCCTGCCAACTGTGATAGGGTTAAAGACTGAATTTGAAAAGAAAGAGAAATCAGAGGCTATGATAAAGTGGCTGTGAAGCACTGAAATTCATTCACACTTTTTTACATCAGATTGTAAGACGTTCAGCGTGGAGACTATGTATTTCTTTGTATTCAGATCATGCACAGTACAGTAGAGCCCTGTTTCTGGCAGGGATGAACCTTTTATTTAAAAATGCTTCTCCTCATAGCAAAATGTGGTTTCAGCAAATAAGTGATGCTTTCCCTTTTTTTTTATTTTACATTTCAGCTGCCTGTGGAGGGCTTTTGACAAAGCTAAATGGAACTATAACCACACCAGGGTGGCCCAAAGAATATCCTCCAAACAAAAACTGTGTGTGGCAGGTGGTTGCTCCCACTCAATACAGAATTTCAATGAAGTTTGAGTTTTTCGAATTAGAAGGGAATGAAGTAAGTAACCACAAACTGTGGCTTACACAATATCCTATTCTAAACAGTTACACGATTGTTCACAAATAGATATTGTCTCATACAACAATTACTGCCTCGGATACTGGCATTTTCCATCAAAATTCTTGTTTTCTTTGATTTTACCGGAACTTGAGGACTGTTTCTAGATTCTTTTAGAATAAAAATGGAAGGTTTTGTTCTTTTCTAAGTATGTACTTATTAAAGGAAACCTTAAAAAATGTTTTCTTCTGGAGCTGACTTGTCAACAAACTAAACAAACTAAATGGCTGGTGAGACTTTGAATTGGAGACTTCAGGAAAAAGCAAAAATTCTTGTTAACATTGAGTGTGAACATTAAGCAAACAGAGAAACTTTAGAGTAGTATAAGAAGTATAATAATTCACCATAGAATGAAATAAAAAAGGTCGACATCAAAATAAATTTCTTAAAGTTGAGAACTACTTGGATTGTGAAATTAACTTCATCAGAATATTTTGAATCTCCATTAATCTAGATTATTAACTGCACTGCATACTGGAAAGAGAAAATTAGTCATCTTCATCTATAAAAGTACATAGTTTACTAAAATGTATTTACGTGTTATACAAATTATAATATCTCAACTCTAATATTATTGTAGGCAAAAATTCAGCCATCTTTAATCATTTAATTTCATTTGGTCATAATTGGTGCCTGTACATGAACAGTGAGGCTGCTCCGATGCACTTCAATTACTGTGCTCCAGCAGCCTCCTGCGTCTCATGTATCAGTGTCCCTGAACTTCAAAATGGTGGCAGGGGTGCTTTATTTAAAAGTTGGGGCACTTTATCTAAAGCTCACTCGACAAGCTTTAGATAAAGCACCCTGTGACAGGAGTATCTCGCTGGAGCCTTTCTATTGGTGGCTCCTTTTCCTCCCCTACACCGCAGCCCAAGGCTCGCAGATGGTACTTGACATGGTTTGCCCTATGCCTTGGCCCTCTTCTTTACTTCTGGGGCCCCTCTCTGCCCCCTCCCGCTCCGGGCTTCTCACTGCCTCCTCTCACTCCAGGGCTCCTTTCTGCCCCCCCCACTCACTCTGGGGCTCCTCTCTGTCCCCCCCCCACTCACTCCGGGGCTGGGGCCAATGCGCCCCCAAACAATGCTGCACCCTCTCCAGCGCCAGGAAACCCCATGCTACCGTGGAGCTCCTATGAGGCCTCCTCCACCCCTAATAGCCTCACCCAGTCCTCCGGTTTTATAAAACTACAAACAGAAAACGCAAGCTCCTGGGCTGTAACATAAACTCTAAACCATCCGGTCAAAACCATGTTCTATCCCTACCGGGAATACTCCAAGTCAGACTGCAGGAGCATCCCCTGGCTGCCACTATATCTCTTCACTGGCTGAGCTCCCCCCTCCTTGGCTACCAGAGAGGAACTGCCCTCCTGGCCTCATCCTTGGGCTAAGAAGGGGCGAAGCCCTGCCCCTTCCTGTCAGCTGATCCCCTTGGTTCCCCTAGCAACCAGCACCTGTGCTGCCCCGGAGACTGACAGTTGCGCCTCCCCTTTCTCACCACTAGGGGCCTCTCTTGAGCTGTCCCTGCTCTCAGGTGCAGGGCACCTAAGTGCTCTGCGACACACCCCCAACACCATTTTGAAGTGTAGGCACGCTGATATACGAGAGGCTGTGAATGCTTTAATTAGAGCGGCTCTTAGATCCACTCTAATTAAAGGTCCCCCACCGCCCTGTACTCATTTGAACAAAATATTTCCATTCAATGTTTTTGTAATGTTCTACAGCTTGACTACATGAAAACTATATTTATTTCAAATGGCCCTGTAGTATTTTAAGCTTTGAGAGAAATCAATGGTTTTCATTCAGTTGCATTTTTATTATTTGAAAATGATATCCTTCTTTTGGGGAAAAAAAAATCCTACATTTTGTTTGTTGGCTTTCATTCTAGGCTTGAAAAACTTGTGTGTTTCAGTATTTCAGTTGTGTATACGAATAGGTTTTTGCACATATAGATCAGAAAGTTAGACAATTCCATGTTTTTCCCCCCAAGGTAAACATAGATTTTAAATACACACAAAACAAGGCCCAGAATAAAATTGGAGAATAAAGGTAAATCTTCAATGGCTGACTTTGAGTTTATGGCAATATTTTAGAGATTTGCTTCTGAAAACTACTGAAATTTTAAATTGTGTATGCTTCACGTATTGATTGAAAATGTTCAACGTATCACCACCAATAAAATGTTTAAAATATCACCAATATTACCATTTGCAAAACATTAATCTGCATTTGTACTGAAATTTGTACAGCTAAATCAGGGTCTCAACTGAAGTAATCAAACATATTTTCAAAAACTATTACACACACACAAAATGAAGAAAATACAATTTCTCTGGCAGCCAAAGACCCGTGTTACTTAAGGGGAAGACACAGTAGGCTAGCCTGGCTCTGTAGGCAGGCAACTGGGCCAAGGCTAGCTGAACAGTGATTAGCTGGGATACTGTTGTAGATTTCTAGACAGCCAGAAGATAAAGGCTGCAAGCAGCATGGCTGAGCTGCTTGCAGCAGGGAGGGGCAGGCTGCCGCTTAGGCAAAAGAAGAAAAACCTGTGCATGATTAGGGAGTCACCAGACCAAAAAGGGCAGGGCTTCAGGGCGTATAAAACTAGCACTTGGAGGGAGGAGGTCAGTCAGGCTCAGTGCGTTGCAGGTAATAGAGCTCCCAGGGCAAAAGTCAGCAGGAGACCACCCAACAGGTACCAAACCACACTGAGAGGTGATAGCTTCAAGGGGAGGAGCGCTGGCAAGATGTCTTTTACCTGGAGTGGTGGAGATTTTTGTTTGAAAGTGGCTGCTTGTATGTTTGTTTTTTTTGTAGTTAAGTTTACAACTGGAGGCCCCAAAGTGTCTACTACAGGAGCAGTACGGAGGCCACAGGGGTGCCTGAGGAACACCCAGTTTAGAGTCTTACCTGGGTTGGTGACCTCAGAGGCTGGAACTGAGACAGAGCAAGACAGGGCTATGGACCCAGAGCCTGAGAAGTTCAAGACCGGGGCCAAGGGCCTGGAGGCTGAAAAGGGGCGAGATGAGGCTAGGGCCCAGAAGCTGAGTTCCAAGTCAATGGGCCTAGGGCGGGGGGCAAAGGAAAGGCTGAAGCCCCAATGAAGGTTTGAGGCCTGAGGGGGATAAGCACTGTAGTAGAGCTGGGTGGCCTCTTGAAATTTATACCATATACCATGGATGGGCATCTCCTGGCATAGGTATCAGAGTGTGATAAGCAAAAGCTTTTTGCTTGGCATGTGCCCCTTGGAGCAGACAGCAGGGAAGGGGCTGGGGCTGCACTGCCACAATAGGGATCAGGCCTGTCATGGTTCCACCCTGCTCCCCATCCACCCTGGCATGCCAACATCTTACAAGTCAAGGTTGCGGGTGTTTTTGGCACTGCCCCAAAATGTTGCCAGCCCCTGCCATATATAATTTGCAAGATATGTGCATAGCTATAGGGGCAGATGGAGGCTACAGACTCAGTCCATAAGGTGCCCTGTGTCACAGGATGCCAATAGAGCCAGAAAGCCTGCAACTGATTGCTCAAGTGGCGAGTTTGCAGTTGAAAATCTCCCAACCCCCTCAAGGCACGTGAAGGGCCCAGACTTTCCCATGGGTCCAGTCATTTAACAGGTGTCACGTTCCCCAACTACCAAATTCATGGGCTCATTGGAGTCACAAGCTAGATGATGTGGCACTGGCGCTGGATCTGTCCCTGGGCCAGGTATTAAGCATCCCTGGTCTAAATACATATTCATTTTATGAGAGGTTCCATTAACTGTGAAACTATTTTTGTGGAATAAATAGTTTTTAGATTGGCTTGGTTATATTTACAAGTAACTGTAAATACTATGCTAATAAAAAAATTAATATGCTTGTACTTCTATCAAAGTTTTATATGGTGCTATATAAAGGAAACTAAACTACAAAGTCTACACTTGGATAAAGGTCTACTTAAAACCCACTAAAACATCACAATTCACCTTAATATATAATCTTTGTATAGAGAAGGATATTGAGATTTATTAACATTATTGGAACCTGTATTTATAAATCCGATGGCACTGAGATGAGATTTAGCTCAAAACTAGATCAGTAAAAATAAACTTTATCTGTTAAGTTAATATTGTTTCTGTTAAGAGTTTTACATCTAATCATAATTGAATTAGCTGTGTTTCCACATCTCTAATTATAAGTACTTTTCAAATATTAGTTTGGAAGCATTAAAGTATGGGGAAACATTGAAAATTATATTAATAATTTATAAGCAACAAAAACCAAAATAATCTTGCATGTGTGTACTTGGATTTAATGCACAATCTGTTTCCTATCCGAATCTTTCAGGCTACTGTTTTCTCTTAAGCTATTAATTGCAGACAAGCAGGACATTTTTGATTAAATGATTGATAGTTGAGCTTAAGAAGCTTAGAAGTTTTTTTGGGTGGAAGGTTTTATATGGACACGGGATTATGCACTGAAAGTATTATCATGAGTAGTCGGTCTTGCATAAGGGGTGATTTTTTTTTTTTTTAACTGCTTAATGAAAATTACATGTATTAGCCTGTTGCATTATAGATGAACTACTGTTAAAAAAAAAATGTGTTAGGATTAATACTGAAGATTTATATTCTCATAAGTAAATAAACTTGGTTTGTCCCATTTCCCTATAAAAGGCATTACATTTTGTTTAAAGGTATAGGGTCCAATATTAACATTCATAGTTTTTGAATTCTTGTTCATCAACTGAAAATGGTTTTTATTCTTCAAAGTGGACGTTCACAGGTCTTAGCCCAATGTCTTCAGACTACTTTTTTCCTTCTCAATTCAATGGCTGAATTCTTAAACATTTTAAAATTTAGATTATATGGATGTGTGTGTATGTTATATGAATGAATTTTGTCCAAAAAGACATAATTTTTAAACATCTAATTTCTAGATATGTTTTAGTGAGCCTGCAAATATATTGGAATAAGATCAACACTGATCTCTAGAATTTGAGATTTGCAGCAAAAGATGCTAATAATATTATTAAATACTTTATTTATTGATGACTTAATGTCAAAGTAACGTAAAAGATCATACATTTTAAGTAAAAGATCATTTGATTAAAACAAAGATCTTTGTTCTCAGGTTTGCAAATATGATTATGTGGAGATCCGTAGTGGCCTTTCTTCTGATTCTAAACTGCATGGTAAATTTTGTGGTACAGAAGTGCCTGAAGTGATCACATCACAGTACAACAACATGAGAATTGAGTTCAGATCTGACAACACTGTCTCAAAGAAAGGCTTCAAGGCCCATTTCTTTTCAGGTACTGAAAATCCCTCCTATGTATTAACAGATGCTTCTGAATACAAAGTGTCTAGATGCAGTGGATATTGTTCATGTGTGATAAATATAAAATGCCTTTTTCCTTCTGCTTATAACATTTCAATTTTCTGTTAAAAAATAGAAATAGCTGTTCTTTCTTCTTATATTGTCTTGAATTGAAATATAGGCCTATAATAGGAAAATCTCACAAAGTGTGACCAACATTATCACAATTTTTGTTCTATTTTTTTAATCCCAATCATAATGTGATATAGATGATATACTACTTTTATTTGTATTTCTATAGTACTACCTTTTTGTTTAATCATATGCTAATCTCACTGGTACAAGACAGATCATCCATTGATGGAAACTGTGATAACTCCACTGACTTTAGTGTAGCAAAACTGTTTACACCAGCTGCACATGTGCATCATTGACTTCAGTGGAACTACTTGCATGAGTCAAATTAAGCCTATAAGCAGATATATGGGGCGGGAGGGGTTTAGTAAGTATATATGTAGGGCTACATAATAATAATTTGTTTTTGTGGCAGGATGTTCCCTATTGATAACAATAGAATTATTCTTAGGTTGGTGCGGGTTCATTTAAGCATAAGGACTAGGGACAGAGATTTAAAAAGCCTGAGCCTGGATTGATACAATCTTTGCAGGTTAGTCCAACCTGCAGTGCTTGAACTAATTTGGAGGTGGATAGACATTCCCTTTTCATTCCAGAAATGCAGGAACATGCCTGAACTGGCTCAAGCTAGAAGCTGGAGGCGCTATAGCAGCCCTCCCTTCCCTTTCATAGTGCTGAGCTGAGGGAGGGGTGTGGGCAGGCCCCTACAGGACACTCTGATTAGGGAGGAGTTCTCCCCCCCTGCTGTTAATAACAGTGCATTTAGTTACACATCAGGGAGTTGCACAGGGAGTTGTTAGCATTTATCAGCCCATCAAACAAAACAAAGCTTCTCTCATTAGTTCAAGCTCTTCTTTAAACAACTTTTACCAAGGAAGGAATGGAGGGATGTTACCAGCTACCTGTTGATTAGCTCCAAAAAGCCCTGTGCCAATACTGTCCTGTCTGCCTTTGTCCTGTCTCTCATAGCACGGACTGTAGCCAGCATGTGGTATGCTAGCTAGTGCTGAGAGGTGTCTGTGTAAGGCAGAGGGGAGGGGGGAATCCCTGCTTGAGCAGCGAGTGGTGAAAGGGGAGCAGGGGAAAGCCAGGCACACTGCTATACCTGCAGCCTCTGTCAGAGCTGCAGGGGAGGAGCCAGCCCAGTTCTCTGGAGCAGAGAGCCCTACCCAGAGCTACAAACTCTCTGGGATGCTGGGGGACTCTGGTTTAACTAAAACCAGGAAGAGGTCTGGGACAGACATTGCATAAACTGGTTTCAGCCATTTTCAGACTGGTTTATATGTACTGAACATCTGTTCTGTTACAGGTTTAAACCAATTTCTGATCACTTAAACCAGTTTATGTGTAATGTCTTTCCCTAGACAATTTGTTACAGTATCTGGAATCTTACCCCTAGTTTTCTAAGAGTTAAGCTTCTGGCAATCTAGATATTTAGTTATATTTAGCATTTAATGTTTTTCTAGCATATATTAATACTAGGATTTTGTTATAGTGCAGAAGTCTAAGTGAAATAAATTTCTGCTCTGGTAAATGATGAATGACTACAGTTTTGCAACCAAGCTAAACGTATGATGCAGTGTATTGTATAAAATGACATTGCCTAGAATTTTTACGAAGTGGTTAAAATATCCATCTGAGGCTGTATGTATAAGGATAAGATGCCTATAATGTAGCAGTCCTGAAAGGCAGTTTGTTTTTTTTATATCTCCTTAGATAGTTTATACTAATAGTGAGGAAAGAGCAAAGAAAGTGGTGTTTCCCAAACAAGGAAACAAAAAATTAGCAAGTGTTTTACCTCTTGAAATCTTTAAATATATTGTATTTGCTTGTAATTACATTCTTGTGGGCAAGGTCATTCAGATCAGTTTCTGGTTTGTATAAATGGCATCTTTGCAGTCAAATAATTTTATTTTCCTTGTAAAATATCATTTTAGATTATTGTAAAGCTTTAAGTTTAACTGCATGTCTAGAGTAAATGTCTATGTGCATACAGCTTAAGAGTGTCATCCACCAGTGAATAATCCTGTTTTATATACACAGGCTCAATAATCCTACCTGTTACATTAGAAAGGATTACTTACATGAGTAAAAGTGAGCACAGTCACTGTTGGTATATATTAGCTATGTTTCCCAGTTTAACCTTATTGGGCGCATCCAGATGAGAACACACGTGCCTCTTGCAGCATTTCAAACCAGTTTCAGATGCTGCAAGAGGCACATTGCGAATGAAAAAATGTTCCCCACACTGCATATTTGCAACATGGGCTTAAAATTTGATACCTGGAAATCCAAGTATCAAAAAACCCACAGAAAAAAAGCGGGGCAGGGCATGGTTCAGGACCGTGCCCTGAGGTGCACCCGGAGACTGGGGTCCTCCAAAGAGATGCTCTGGTAGCCAGCCAGAACATCTCTATGGTTGCCCCTTGCCCCGTGCTGCAGCACACTGCCTCCCTGTGTGGGGCAAGGAATGGTGCAGGCTGCAGTGACCTGGACCTCAGCTCTGCCCCTAGGTAAGTAGGGAGTGGGGGTGGAGGGGACTGAAGCAGGGGCTGTGTGAGTATGGGGGACAGTGTGTGTTGGGGTAGCTGCTGTGGAGGGCTGGGTTCCCTGCCTGTCCCTTGCAGGGCCCACAGCCATCCCACAGCAGCAACAGCCATCAGGGCACTCAGTGCCCTCTTGGCACAGTCCCCCCACCGTCGCAGCATGGTGTGGGCTGCCTGGCACCTGGCACTTCCTGTGCCACTTTGCCCTGGCCTGGCCTGGCCTGACCTGGCCCAGAGCGGGGATGTGCACCTTCAGGCGGGACCAAGCCACTTGGGCTGTAACCCAGGGCCTGGCACCACTCACACGGACCATGTCTAATGCTGGGCCAGGTCCTGCTCCCACAGGCCCCACACGCCATCAGGCTCGGCCAGATCCATGGAGGCAGAACATGGCCCAGCATGACACGTGGCCCCTGCAATCAGTGCCAGGCCCTGGGTGATAGCCCAAGGGGCCTGGTCCTGCCCAAAGGTGCATAGCCCCAGGCCAGGCCAGGCCCATGTTATGTTGCACATGCAGTGCTGGGTGCCAGGCAGCTTGGGTCACGCTGCGCTGTCTTGCACTGCCCTGCACCGTGGGGGGGCTGTGCCAGGAGGGCTCTGAACAACCCGATGACTACTGCTGTTGTGGAAGGGGCATGTGTGCCATGTGAAGTGAGGGGAGCTGTCAGTGAGCTGTGCAGGAGGGATGTGCCTTTTGGGGGGCAGGAGACTCACCCCTCCTGAGCAGCCCCTCACACCCATAGTCCCCCCACAATTCACGCACATACACAACCACAAACCACAAGCCCCATACCCTCCCCAAACTTCACACCCACAAACCCTACATCCCCCACACAAATCTCATACCCTGCATGCCCAGCCAGCTACATGGGATGGGAAGGGAACTGCTGGTGGGAGCAGCGGGTGCAGGGGCCTCTGCCACACTGCAGCCCTGCCCTGTGCTCACATGTGGCCCCAGCCTGGGGGGACTCCTGATCCCAGGAATCACTTGGGAGGTGTGATGGGCTGGGGGCAAGGGTGCAGGTGGCAGCAGGGGGTTGTGAGAGAGAAATGAGGGTTGGGGTGGGGGAATGCTCAGGGTAGGAAAGATCTCCAGAGCCAGGCTTAGAGCCCTCCTGACCTCCTAGAACAGCCTGTGCAGGAGGAGGCTGGCCTGGGAGGAAAGGGCCCAGCTCAGTCCCTGATCCCCAGTCAAGGGTTTCCAGGGGATAGCAGGGAGCAGAACAGGAAGGGCTGGCACTGCTCAGAGCCACAAAGCAGCGGGTGGGACAGCTGCGGTTGGACTCATGTTCTGGTGCTGGGACAGAGCTGTCACTGGGAAGGAGCTATTAGGGGCAGGCAGGGGCTGTGGGCCAGGAGTGGGGACTGAGGAGTGGCGCATGCTGTGGGTTGATTGTGAGGGGCAGGGGCAGGGCACTGGCATATCAGTGCTGCTCAGTGCCGTACATCCTGGTGAGCAAAGGAGGTAGGGGAAGCTCTGATTTTTCTATGACAAAAAAACCAAAAGTAAATGCCAAAGTGTATAGATATCCATATAAAATCCATTTTATGATGATAGAGGAACTGGTAGGGTTCCAAATTGATTTAAATCTGTAAATATTCAATAAAACATTGCCCAGCTGATCTCTCTCTATATAGTTGCATTACATTTTAATAGTGAAAGAACACTATTTTGGGTATTTTTAACGAGGGGCCAGCACAGGGGCAGGTTTTTATACTGGTAGGGCAGCACAGTTGGCACAACTTGCCCCACACACAAAGCGCATGTCTGGGCATGTTTAATGAGGCAAAAATCCCTGGCGCAAATTTTTGCCGCTCCTATATTAGCTGCTGCAAGCGCACGTGCCTGCATGTGTGGATGTGCCCATTGTTTTGATACCTATGGAGTTAAGCCACCAATAAGGGTAGCTCTGACATTAATTACAATATTCTTATTAGTCATAGCCCCAAAATGACTGTTTGAAAGTTTAAATTCTGAATTGTGTTCAAGAAATATTTTTACATATCTTTTAATTTTCAATGTTTTAAAACTATTAGTGATTTTTATATTACAAATTGGTCTTGTATTATAAAGAACTTAGATTATATTATCAAGAGAGTAGGGTTGTTGTTCATGAAATGTAAGTAAAGGACTTGTGAACCTTAGGAACTGTTATTTTTCCTTTTTTCCTTGTTAAATTATTTTCAGGGACTGCTTTACTTTTTTTCTTTTCTTATCTAGGTTTGAAAACTAATGTAGTTTACACATAATCTTAATGGTCTGTTATGGAGTAAATCTTCAGGAACTTACCCAAGAAATGAATCTGAACTAAAA